AAATTAACATATAGATAGATACCAGGAGAAAGTAAAAGAAACAGATAGTTCATAATATGAGTACATCCTTATAACAGATAATACTAACCAACATATTACATTGGTATTTTAAGAGATGACCGCATCAACTGCATGTTATGTAAAGGATCATATTTTCTATTTTTCAGTTGCTAAGGACAGTCTGAATGAAACCTACACAGATTATATTCAGATTATATTCAGATTACATTCAGTAGACAATACATTCCCCTGTTTTCATGCAGCAGGACCTCACAGCCTGCCTTGGGGAAGTCACTAACATCTAGTTAGTTACAGAACAGCTCTACTGTAGTGTCATGAAGAAGAAGATGAAAAAATGTAATTGCTTGTTGCATTTCTCTCTTTCTGAACAGCCTTCATAGAGCTACAACATACTCTTCTATGGTTTCCTGCTTCACAGCCCAGGTAAGAAGCATCTTAGAGGAGAAAGGAAGATGAAAACAAAACTTCTGATTATAAAGTACTGAATTTGGGAAACAGCAATATTCTATGACAACAATGTTCCTATATTTTTCTACGAGTTTAACAAACAAATAATTGTGCTACTTCAGTGATGGCAGGCATATGTAACTAAAATTTTGTGTAGCCACCTAAAAATAAAACACTGAGAAGTAATTTCAAATCTCAAACAGTCAGAAACAAAATCAAAGATTTTTGAAAGCTTTGCCTTTCCCACCAAACTTAGTCTCCCTCCAGTTCCACACACTGTTATCCAAGGGTTTTGGATACTTTGGTCCCACTGGCCTTCTAAAGACTCATTGGTTTATCTAAAAGGAGATTAGGCTGTTGGAATTCTGCACTTCAGGTTTCCTAGCTAGCCTCCCATAGAAACTGCAAGGGAAACGAGGTGCCATGTTGTTTAAAATTACATGTTAGAAAGTCTTTAAAATAACATTAACTTCTGTAACTATTTTCCAGACAGTATTTTTCCTTCATTAAGAAATACTGTGATGTAAAGAAAGTATTAATTTTTCTCATCTCCATGGATTACTTAGCTTTGGAATAAATTTAAGCAATACAAGAGCCTGAAACTTCACATTCCGCTCAACTATTGTTTCTTCTCATGCAGGCAGTGTACACTTCTCTGTTTAAACTGACCTTAATTTTTTATCGCAAGCAGACATGCCATCAGGTAGCTCCAGGCATGCTGCATATGAAAAACAAACAAAAAACCCCCAAGGCAATACAAAACACTTATCTCAACCGTAAAACTGCAAAATTCCTTTGTGGGTTTACATGTAGTTCTACGCTAAAATCCAATGTCTTAAAGCAGAAGTATCAGACCATCCCTTTATTCGCTTCTACACCACTTCCATTAAATATTTCTCAGTGAAATTTAAAGGTAATCAAACTATTTTCTAGTTTAAGTTAGTTCGTTCACAATTAAAAAATAAAGCTATGTTTTTTATGATTTCTGTCAGTACTATACTGAAATTTATCAGTCCATTAAGTTAATATGAAGGCAAAATAAAATCCGGAGTTTTATACAACTGTAAGAACTTACTAACAAAACCACATTTTGTCTCCGAAGCTAACCAGATCTTCATGGGAGTAGAGCCTCAAAAGAAATGTTTCAAAAAAGAGATATCTAAATGTCTCCTTGATGCTCAAATAATGTTTCAAAAAAGAAAGATATCTAAATGTCTCCTTGATGCGTCTCCAGTTCTATACCAGCCAATGACAACTGGGGAGTGGGGTTTGGGGCAATTTTCTTTTAATTCCATAAATAAAGGTATTGGTTCATACAGAAGAGGATCTCTTATTTCAGCATATTCTTTGTAAACTCACAGGGCTGGGATACAGTCTAAAATATTTTTTTTTACTCTAACTTCCTGTGTCTTGCATGTTAAGGTCAAAATAATGACCTAATTAAGGAGATATTTGTTTTGTGGAATGTTTTACATGTTTTAGGGACAGGGGACTCTGCCTGCTCCTAAAAGGATTACAGCTGAGCTATCTCCTTTTTAGAAGCAGCTACTGGTACAGAACAGTTATTGTACTATCATTGCAACAGCAAGGGGAAGAAGCATCCCCTTACTGCCACTCACTTGTCAGTACTGCAAAGAGTACGCAGACCAAGAGAAGACAACCTTCCGAACTCCTATGAACACACCAACAGCTTCACGTCACCAAGAGGCTACACCCACACCTTGCAGAGCCAAGGAGAAGACTGCCGCAGAGCAGATCTTCTCCAAGATCCTGAATACACAGGTCCCACTACATCAGGAGTTTTTTCCTCAAGGTTTCATAGAATCATGGCATGGTTTCCTAGGATTTTTTTCCTCATGGTTTCATAGAATCATAGAATGGTTTGGGTTGGAAGAGCCCTTAAAGCCCATCTAGTTCCACCCCCCCTGCCACGGGCAGGGACACCTTCCACTAGACCAGGTTGCTCAAAGCCTCATCCAGCCTGGCCTTGAACACTTCCAGGGATGGGGCATCCACAGCTTCTCTGGGCAACCTGTTCCAGTGCCTCACCACCCTCTCCAGGAAGAACTTCTTCCTGATATCTAATCTAAACCTCCCCACTTTCAATTTAAACCCATTACCCCTTGTCCTGTCACTACTTCTTGGCTGCTCAGTTCTTCCTATGCTGCGGGAACCCAGTTGTCCAGAAGCCCTCATGGGAGCACATCTCCCAAGCAAGATAAGGGACATAGTCCCAGGAGGAGAGGTGGACCTATGCTGCTCAAAAGCCAAAGTTTCACCCATATTCCTTAACAGACAATACTCCAACTAAGTATTACAGCCTCTTGCCAGCTGTTGTTGGTATACAGAAAGGAAAGAGGAATTGCATCCACCCTTGCTGCACTGATTCAAGGTTCTGCAATTACAGCAGCCCACCCCTTTATCCATTTCCTGAGACCCACTCCAATCCTCCATCAGAATTCAAGAGCATTTTTCACCCAACCAATTGCACTAGAAATGGCAACTGACATCTGATTCCCACCACACCAGCAAGCAAAAGGTAAGACACAAGGTATACATTAATCAAACAGTGAAATGCACCACCAAACGAGGCAGAAAACTTTTAATGGGGCGTCGTCAAAATATTGGCAGAGAGCTAGTTTATTATTATTTTTTGAACTGCTTCTTGCCCTCAGATTATCCAATCACTACATCTGCTCCTCAAAACCCACTATTTATGTTATCACCACAGATTTGCAAGTGACCTGTTTGCACATGCTATTTCAGCTGCTGTACGGTATCTGCGTCCCCACGTACTCCGAGCATACTTTGTACATGGAAGGAAAAGGATATCTCGATCCCTACACAATCCAGACATTTCAGTTTGACACAGGGAGTATAGTACAGCTATCATACCAGAAACTATCTTTTGTGCTTAAAAGTATATTTACATACATTTATTTAAAAATATATTGCTTAGAATATATTTATTCAACTTTTTAATCTGCACACTAGAAGTGCAATGCTTGTTTACTGAGCTTTTACTGGACTGCTTTTAGTAGTTATATAAAACTACTTTATTTTGTTATATATGAAGAAGTATACAAACTAGTCAATCTTTTGCACTTCAAATCTGTTAAAGATTCACTAGTTCTGAAATCCAGCAGTCTGTGTAATTAAACTAGATATAGAAGTTCTCGCTTGCATTGGTTAATTTTTACTCAGAAATTGGATAAGGAGTAAAGAACTCAAAAGAAAAGTTAAGGGCTTGAACAAAAAACCTTCCCTGTTTTTTCAACAAACAATCTTTCTAAAGCTATCCAGTGAACTAAACTAAGAAAAGAAAATTCTATCTTCATTAATATCACAGGCTACTTGTGTCAAAAGTTGCTTTCTGTATCAACAGACTCTCCTTCCAGACATTAATCAGCAGCATCCGCCTGTTCTGTGCTGGAGATTTTATTTTAAATTTTAGCAGCAAAAATACATTGCTTAAAACAATTTATATTTGAAATGTAGTCATCATGATTAAATTCATACTAATGTTGAAAATGTTATTCTAAATGAGTCAAAGCATTTTAAAAATAAGTAGTATGTATTTCAACTCATGTTACAGTTTATTCTTACATGCTACCACTGAATCCTTCAGTTAAGGCAATCCCCATCCCCCTCCCTTGCTGATTTTCATGCTTTCATTTCACTTTTCCCTCTCTAAATCCTGTCTTGAGCAACCTGATCACAATACAGAGTAATGTAAACTTCATTTTAGGGTTTTCCACTGAAGCCTTCTGGACAGTGAGTTTTTCCACTGAGGAAATTCTTCCATGTCCACGCTCATTTAAGGCTACCTTAGAGGGTGGTAACAGGATTTGTGGGTTTTTTTTCCCCTCATGGGATTTTTCATTTAATATTGCATTCCTACTTTATCTAAAGAATCTCTTCTCTAAAGAGCACTGTATACTTTGCAAGTTGGTAGTTTTAACCCTTACTTGTACTTCCACATCTGATTACAATTTCAGCTGTTTAACCACACAATAATAATTAATTTTTGGCAGATACTAAGTATTCTGTAAGAAACAACATTAGAAAGGAACTTAGGATCAGTTTGTTTGGGCAGTGCTAGCTGCTACTAGAAGCACGTGAAGCTCCTGGCTTCGTGCCTGCATGGATGGAGTCATTTCACCACATGGAATTTGTCTGCTCACCATTCTAAAGTTCATTTGTGCAGTAGCTATACTGTGGTTTTGGAAGCTGTAGACTAAGTTTCCTGTTATTCAGTAACATTTTCTCACAAAGAACATATGGTCTTGTAAGTATGCAATGCTAAAATTAACTGAGAAGATTATAAAAACAAACAAAAATCCCCAACCCTACAAAACAAACAAACAGCAATAAACCCCCCACAAAACAGTGGTTTTAGCAAAATTTTCTGTGTTTGTCCAGATAAATAGATGTTCCAAGTTATTTTTCAGGCCACCTCCACCATGATGTCTGCTTATTTCAAGGAGTAAAATAATGTTTCATTAACCGACAGCTTTGTAGGTCTTACTTACATCAAGAGAGCCTTCATTTATAACAATTAGTCCCATGTTCTTTCTCAAAAGTTTACAGGAGTGACCTGTTAAAAACAGTTTTATTTTCAAAAATTTGCTCCAGAAAATACATTATAACAAAGCAATTTTTTCCTGTAAGAGAACTACAGAGAGAATTAAAAATAAGACTCTCCCAGATTAAATTAATGGTAAAAAAAAAAATTTATAGTGCACTCTGTAAAAATCAGACATACAGGTACTAAGTCAGAACAGCCAGAATTTTCCTTGCTGCAACAGGATACTGTTGTGCCTTATTCACAGAGGTGCTCAGCAGGACAAGGAACACCTTCACAGGGAGGTACAGAAAACAGCAAACTGATCTCACTTAGCTTTGCCAATATCTGGAATGCAACTTGCATTTCATACAAAATTGGCATATATACATGTTCCCATTCTTTTATTATTTGAGGCTTTAAACAGAGCGTATGCTGGGAGATAATGATGCAGGTTTTGTAGATAAACATGTACCACCATTCTTCGTAATGTGAAAATACCGGTATTCTGTGTATTGCCTCAAACCTGAAGGTACTAACAAAACCAACTTTAGATCAACTGTATCATGTGCATACAAAAGGTTTTTTAAGACTGAAAATAATAATAATAATAAAAAGGAACCACATGACCGAAATAATGCTTTACTTTGGGCACATATCTAGGCTACTGCAGAAGTGCTGATATGCTCACATGCAAAGAATATTGTCTTAAATGCAGCTTTCACGCATCAGTATTTAAAAAGAGATTTATCATTGTTGAAATTAGTTAATTAATGGTTCCCTTTTCCACTCCTTTGTAATAAAAGGAAAGAACAAAATGAAACAACTGATTGATGGCAAAGTTTGTAGTACTTTGATGCACATAATCTACATTCTTAATACTTTAGTTTAGAGTGATGGTAAGGACCATAATCTTAACAAGAAAGAAAAATACACAAGGGAAACTAAGACTACTTACATATTCTTAATATTATTTCCTCCCTGTCAAAACCCAAACAATTCTTTTTGATTCATTTTAGATGATACAAAAAAGCACAAATGGCTATTTTTTCCTCCTCTCTGATAACACGAGTATTCTTGCAGTTACTAACCGGAAGAATCAGCCATTCCCTATCCTCCCCCTACCACTGACTGAAAAATAAGTTAACGTTATTTTTTACAAGACTGCTTTCAGAGCAGAAAAGTATTTTACTCTAGCAACTTCTACCACTTCTAAATCTGTAACAAACCCATCAAATAAATGCAAACATAGTACCGATGTTAATCGCAGTCTCTTGTTTGTCCCCAGTAAGTATCCAAATTTTTATGTCTGCTTTCATGAGCGTCTCTATGGTTTCAGGCACTTTGTCTTGTAGTTTATCCTCAATTGCTGTTGCTCCAAGCAACTGAAGATTCTGTGAACAAAATATTCAGTACATACATTTTTTTCAGTTTAAATTCCGTTTTCATCTTCCTGTTTCCTTTTTTTAACTTCCCATATTTACAAGATTAACACTCTCTAAATTAATTTATCAGATTTGGGATCAACTAATGAAGATGTTCTAGTTTATTCCTATGAGCTTTAAGTTAAATATCTATGTGGCTTGCACAGCGTGACCACTAAAACTTCACCTATCATTCACAAGCTCAGTAGCTCGTTCAGGAACAGCTACCTTTTCCTGAGGGGCACCTCTGATTTGCAGACTTAAGAAGTGCTCTAACAACTGCTCTCACTTGCTTCGATTTCTCTTCACCTTGTAAAAACCAAAATACCTGTCAATTCATCTTAATCTTTAAACTATAACCTTGATTATGTTTGGTTTTACCTTCCTATGCTGCAAACCTATAGTTCTTGTGAATACAGCTGGTTTTTTACTTTGTATTTCTGTACCTTTGAAACTAGCTAAACCTCTGTTAATGACACCATTATAAACCTAATAGTGTGCGATCCTGGTTGCAGCACGGTCCACGTACTACATGCTGAGAAAGTACTTGTAAGAGCCACAGGAACCGTTTTTGTTGAGGCAGTGAGGTCTAACTGGATGCTTGGCTACTCCAGCAGCAGCGTTGCCAGAAACTCAAAGGGTGTGAATACAGCTCTGCCCTTCGTGAGGCTGCATCTGGGTATCACCTCCCTTTCTGGGCCTTCAATACAAGGGAGGCTCACAAAGCAGAGCAAGTCCAGAGGAGGGACACAAAAGTAGCTTGGGGCTGGGAGCACACCGTATTAAGAGTGCCTGAGGAACCAGGATGAGTGTCACATGGGACAGGATGAGTGTCGCATGGGAAAAAAATAATGCTAAGGGAGGGATCCCATGGCTGCCTTCTGCTAATTGGAGAGGGCTTGCAGAGAAGCCTCTTCCTCTAAGAGGGGAACAGGGAAAGGGCAAGAGGCAACTGTCACATTCTGCAGCAACAGAAATTTTAATTCAAAAAAAGGGAAAAAGAATAATTGAACATTATAAAAACAAAAAGCCTACTGCAGCTGGGAAAACTCCCTCCTTTCAGAGAGCCAAAACTTCAATGTGCTGGGCAAGCAAAACAGCCCTGCTTTGAGCAGGGATTTGTGTCTAGGTGACTTCCAGAAGTTCCTTTCAGCCCTAACTACTCTGGTTCTAAGATCATTACACAAGGAAGCAGGTGCTGTTTGCCTATTATTACACTTTTTTCCACAAAAGCAATGCTGAAAAAAGCTTTCCACTAGTTTTAGCTCGAAATCAATACTTTCCGGCAAAGTAGCCACTTGCTGCAAAAATTTTGTCAAATTAATTTTTCCTTTATTTTCAAACTGCAAGGACTACATGACTCATCTGTCAGTATATTGCTAGATATTCTTTCTGTCTAAGCATTATTACTCTATGATTCAGATTTCATGGTACAGAAAGCAAGGACACTAATTAGAAAACCACCCTCCTTGCCCCCTACCTCCCAAAAAAATCCAACCCCAAAACACCAACACCCAGAAGGCTACACATACTTTTTCAATCAGTTCATAGCTCTCCTCAAGTTTGAGTGCTCTGTTCTGTATAGCTGTAGAAGCACGGTGATAGACATCCAACCATTCTTGATAATCGCTTTCTGAAATCTCAGCTACCGCAAAACACAGAGTTCTTAAGCCTAAAGAGAAAGCAGATAGTAAGTATGATTCAGTATTTGTTAGTGACATACCTGCAATGAGTAAATACTAAAAGCTGAATTTATTCTGTATTTTATGTATGCTTCTGCTGATTTTCAACTTACTATTGCATGTCTTGAAGAACTTTTTCTTTATATATATATAAAATAAAAGTAAAAGTTCTATAAATAGCAATTTATTCAAAAGAGTAACTCTTTCAAGGTAGATGATTGTAATACAGGTGATGTACTCCAGGAGGAAAAAAATGACATTTTACACAAGATTCGACTTACCTTAAATTGTGACATGAAGCAATCCCAAATTACACTTGCCTAACCGGTATATACATTAGATTTTTAGGAACAAGCTATAAGATTGAATTATATTTTTGAACAAAAGTTTTATAAACTTAAAAGTTGTTATGCTGGAAAGCAATAAAATTAAAATACACCAGCACAGCATTACAACTATCCTCTTCTTCACTCCTCCTCAATATCTGTAGGAAATTCTCAGTGGAAGTTTGAAATTTACCATCTAGAAACTGATTTTGAATCCACTCAGACTTAATTTTCCCCATCTCACAGATTCTTTCAGCTTTCTAAATGCTTAAAATAAAATCATTGTGTACAGGCAACATTTGGAGATTTTACCTAACGATCTTTGAACTGGTTACACTTAACAGATTTTTTTTTTCCTTCAGCAGAAAACTGAATTGAGCACTTCAGTAAGAATTTCAGACCACAAGATTACAAGAAATATCTGTTTTTTGACAACACACATTTACACTCAGTTTAAGTAGCCAGGTGTTAATGTCCTGGCAGTTCATTTCCATATATTAGGAGATTCTTAGATTCCTGAGCATGAAACTGGCACAATTCTTTATATACTGTGAAGAACATTGCTCTAGCCAAATGATGTCTCTGGAAGCCACAATTTGCAGGCAGGTAGATTTAGGAGAGGGACAGGAAGGACCGATGTAGTTATTAGTGTCTTTGGTCTCTTCTCTAGGAGCACCATAACCAGTGATAATTAAATGCAATCTTTATTTGTTCACAGGTTTCTCTTCCCTACAGCTCAGAACCAGCAATTTTAAAATGACCAAGAGGATGGGCATGAAATATGTATGCATGCGTGTTAGATGTAAGACACTAATTTAATGCCTTCAGGATGAAAACCATGTGTAATCCTAGGATCTTGACAGGTGAACAGCATTAGGAACACAGCTTCTCACTGTCTAGAAATTAACTTAAGGCTAACAAATCAACGTGTGTGTTTGGTTTTTTTCTGACACCACCCTCCCACACACACCCCCATGTAATAAGGATATGCTAGCAAGATCCAAAGAAATAAATGGGATAAATGGGGTGGGGTGTGTGTGTGAGGCAAGGAAATTATGACTAACAGTAATACTATTTCCAAAATTCTTTCGAAATATATCTTATGCAGATGATAGAATGAAGAAGTCAGGAATATCAGCAAACCAGTTTTTCAAGGCTTTTTCTTTTAAAGTCCAAGCCTAATTATTTCTTCTATTTTTAATTGGAAAAAAGAAAAAAAGATTTGTGGAAAACAAAATACCATTAAGTCTGCTTCTTAACAGACTGGAACAACACCACAGGAAAATTACACTTTCTCTATTTATCCAAGCAGGCATTAACACTCAAGCTTAATAAATGCTTAAATATAAATGCCAGCCATGCTAACCACTTCATTTTTGAACGACACACCAAGAGCATGCAGCAAATGCCAAGGACATACTGTACTGCCACATGAAAGGCTACACATGAGAAACTTTGCAACGTCATTGGCTGCAGTTTAAATCTGATGCAAAAATAAATACAAATTTCTTTAATTGATTCCAGAGAGAGACATGTACTTTTTTTTAAAATATTTTTTAAAGATGGAATTTTATGCTTTTGAAAGGTTAGCAATTAACCCTTCTGAACAGTAAATCTTTTCATCTGTTGAAAAGAAGGGTACAAAAAGTACTTGAACAAACTTCTTAACACCAATACGTATGTAGAGTAGTTTTAAACACGAGTGGAATTTTTCACTTATGTTGATTCATTCAGTCCAAGGAATGCTAAGGAAAAATGGTATCAGTTGTACCACTGATTTAATGAGAACCGTAATTAAGAACTGGATTGAAATTTTCATATCAGTTCACATAGACTAGCAGATATTGATCTATTTTTACCTTTTCTGTAACCAAATATATAGCCTTATGACCCAAACTAACTTCATATCTAAGTAACTTTCCCTTGACTGATCCTGGCCTTTATAAAACCCCAAACTGGCCAAAGAGCTCACACAACTGGATTTGTGAGCGCAAAGGGTGTGTCTCAGGCTTCATGTTTTATCATCAGTCAAATTTGTTTTGGTTTTAGTTCCGTTTCCAACTTTATTGTATAATTTATTATAACTTTGATACTTGTAAGATTATTTAGGGCTAACCAAGTGTTTCCTGCAGAGATCTTGACACAGAAAACTAACAAAAGAAACAGATCTGTGGCTTGCTTCTGCTGTCACAGACAGAATCAACAGACTGAAGGTGCTGACTATGACACTAATCAAAACACTAAATTCAAAAGAGAAAAACTGGAGAAGTTGTATGTATAACAGACAGAAGAAGGATCTTTCCTGATACAAAAAGATTTGACTAGACATCAGTTATCAAAAGTTAAAGATTTTATTTTAGAAGGAAAATATTTTAATAAAGCTTGTTTTCCAGTGTAAGCTTATTTCTTAAGACACATTAAAGATAATTTTAGTGTTCTAGTAATAGTGTTAAGAAATGAAGATGTAAAAAAATAGTGTAGTTCAGATTCCCATAACTATTATAATTCTGCTTCCAACTACTCTCTTCCCAACTCATTGATAAATTAAACACTATGACATTTCACAGTACAAGTCTATAATTCTCTACTAAGATACCAGAAAAGGGGCATGGCATGGAAGATCTAGGAACTGTGCTAGAAGAACTTACATGACAGCAGAAACCTTTCTACAGTCTTCCCTGCTCATGTCTGTCTTGAGGATTCCACTAATACTAAATAACTGGCTGTTTGCATCAATCATCTTAATTTCACAGTCTTTTAAATTTTACTTACTACCTACTTCATGAACCCTCATGGAGAAGGGTCCCCCACCTTCAGCAACTGCTTTGTGCCTGTTAAAACAGCAGAGATACCAAAGCACACCATACGGAAAGCTAGTGCTGGCAATCCCTCTCACTGTGACTGGTTGCAGAAATAATAAAACTACCTTAAAAGCACTCTGCTAGTCATTCCCAAACATCTTCACTTGGGTCACTTCTTCCTGTGTGCCATCCCCACAGTACTGTGTGTGGGACATGGAAGTGATCATGGGAAGTGAGATCTTAACAGAACGTTTTACGGTTAAGCATGAACTTATTACTGAAACTTCTCAGGAAGAGGAAGTTTTTTTGGGACGCATTACTACAACATGATTTTCAAACTTAACACGAAAAATACATTACAGTAACGTAAAATTGCAAAAATGAAAAGTTGAGGAGTAACCGATTTTGATATTTAGTTTTATATTGAATAATAATTCAATATAATAATAAATATTATATTGAATAATATCACCCACCTTCGGTAGCAAACTGCTCTAGATGTTTCAAGGTGATTTCTTTGTATTTTGAAGTTTCAGCGAGACGGTCATAAATGACAGTATCCTACAACACAAATAAAATGAACATCAATAGTAGGTTAAAACTCCCATCTAGTCACTCAGGCTAGATCACCATTTCTACCTGGCGATTCATGTCTAGCTACCCCATCAAGTAACTAATAGATGAAACCATATATTCATCCACTTTCTTGGAGTGCAGAAGGAAGCAATTAACAGGAAGTTTAAGTTATTCGTCCAGTACAAAGAACAGGATGAATGGGTCTGTTATACCTCCATAGGCAAGTAGTAAAACCCCACATTATCTAGTTCATCACATTAAATGTACACAGTAAAATGATGTAAACTGAAAAATGCATCAATTCCTTGCCCCACGTTCTCAGTGTTTTGACTGCACTTATAACAACCTTTTGCTTTCGTATTTCTATTGGTATCACATGTTCTTTGATACAGTAGGAACAATAAAACTCACAGCTCCTTTGCAGTAGAGTCTTAACTTTCCTGATGGTGTGCGAACTATCACTGACATTCTCTTCCTAGAGCTGAAAGACAAAGAAATGCCCTATATAAGATGGTTCATAAATATAAATATTTACCAAGATTTTTCCTAAGAATAGCAATATATATTTTATATAAGACAAAGGAAAAGAAGTAAGGGCTATCCTGAATTATGTTTTTGGGTGACTAGGATGGAAAAAACAGTTTTACTGTCTAATAATTAGAGAGAATGTTATTTTGTTGTTCATACTTCTGTAGGCCCTTTTACCTGTAAAAAACAAAATTTGAGAATCTTTACCTTCATTTGAATACTGTCTACTGACCCCAAAAAAGCATCTTGTGACCAGTATCATAAGGAGGTAAAGCATCACAAACCATTTAAGCTTTTTCTTCCTCTCCTGTAGGCTGTACTGTGCTGAAATCCTATCGCTGTCATCCCAGAGTATCAGACATCATGCAAAGTCTTAAGAATGCTGTGAATTGGAAGGGGCCTTGCCTCACTTTAACTACCCTCTGGCTCTCAGAGGTTAATGAGATCTAAGTATTTTTATTTTTGTCCTCATGACGGAGGTAGGAATTGGAGGAAAGCATGGAAAACTGTCACAGGTTGCTTTCTGTCTTCCCTTTGAGGTCCTCCAACAAGCATACCTCAGATTCAAAATCATGTCCAGCCAAAACATGTATTTATACCATAGCTCTTTCAAACTGTTAAAGTAAATCCATGGAAACTATTCAGGGAACAAAATACATTTCTCATACAACATTTCACAGCAAAATAAACCAAAGAGATGGAAATAAACGATCCTTTTAAAATTCCAGTTCCTGTTGGAACTGGATCCCATTTATAGATCATTAAATAGCATTATTGTATGAATGATTCCTGAAGTTAAGATTGCCGTGGAAAACTTACTATAAGCTGAATGTATGGAGACAGGTGGAGGAAAGAATTTTATGATTACTGGTGAAGTAACTGACTGAATAGTATCTTCAAGAAAATATTTTCCTATTCCACCTGTGCATGCACTTTGCTCCAAGTACAGACATCTGAACAGCACTATGAAATCACATTTCTACCCTGAATACTGCACAAGAGAGCATAAAAATGCATTAACTGCTGCAACTCATTCTCCATTTAACCTCTAATCCAACAATCCAGGTAAGCAGAACTCCAACACACCCTTAGACAGTGTCTGGTTGGGGATCTGCTTAGGCAACAGTGGAGAAACACAGATCATCCCAAAATGCACTTAAGTTGCCTAAAAACAAAGTGAGTCTCAGAACCACTTTGATTCCTGGGAAGATTATCTTGTCCACTGCTACTTAAATTCACTTCACCTGCCTAAATGTTCAGTTAAGGAACTGTGGAGGAATTACAGTAATTTAGGGTTTGTATAAACACTAATTTGGTACATATGCCCTTGACAGGTAAGAACTTGGCAGTTTTGTACTTCCAATACCAGAAGATTGCAATCCTGAAGTTGTGCATACAGCTGCCTATCAACCTACTGAAGATGAATCAGAGAATAACCAGTGTTTTTTTGTAGCATTCTGAAACATCAGCTATGAAGACAGATATTGAATCTTGACTGACATACATTTTCTTAGTAAAACTGCAATGAATCTAATGAGCAGGATGTGCTGTCAAGGATTTATAACTTTTTATGAGCCTTTTCATTGCAGTGACGGTTTTATTTCCTTTTCTTGGTGAAATACAGAAAAACACAAAATTGCAGTACTACAAATAATACTGAACAGTGGATACCTGCTGAAATACTGACAAAGAAAATGCCTGCTCACACGGGAACTAGGGTGGGGAACCAGAAACATCCTTGAGAAGCGCAGCCAGCATTTCTAAAAGTACAGCTGGGTACCCAGAAACCATTATATAGCACAGAACAAGTAACTAACTGCAATTTATTGTCTGAAAAGGTTAAAAAGTCTGGAAGAGGGAGAAAACATCATGAGAAAGTAGGACTTGGCAACTGTTACTGGTTGTTCTAGCTGAAAGAACAGGAAAACAGTCCGGAAAAATTGGTCTGAGAGAAAACACCATCATCTATTGGCTGTCCCAGGCCCAAAACAGAAATCAGCAGCATCTTGACTGCTCCAGGTGGTGGTGTCCTACCTCCCTTATGTCTCTGCCATATAAAAATGGCTTTCTTTTACCCAAAATGGAGCCTCTCTCTCCCAGATAGCTTCCCCCTGCATAAATTCTTCTCTGAGATGTCCTCAGCAAGTTATTGGATCATCACCAGGAGCTCCTGGCTGACTCCAGACTCTCACTCTTCGAAGTAAGACTGATGTGCCATTTTTAACCAACAGTGGGCCTCACTTATGCTTACTGAAACAAGGAATCACACACTCAAAATCATGCTCATCTTTGCAACTGCCCCAGGTGACAAGGCAGTGCATGTACTCAGCACAGGGATCACAGTAAGCTGAAGACATTCTTTGCTTCTGGATCCTCAATGGACATAGTACCTTGCTCCCCCCTGCCCCACAGATACACATCCTAGGAGTTGGCTTTGGCTCCCAAGAGACAGCTGTGTTTTTTCTATTTGTTACAGCTCCAGGTTGCAGAATATAAGAACGGGCACCACACAATTCCTTCCCTGACAATATGGGGAGTCCTGAACAGCAGAGGGTCTGAAAAACTCTTCCCTTCCTTGAGCTTAAGGTACAACAGCAATTGTAGCATCTGAGCAGAGTATCTGCCTGAGGCAACCTAAACTCAGTGCAAGCTATCACGACGCTATTTGCTCCAGGGATTAACCCTGCATTTTAAGAATAACTGTCAGCTGGTGTGCCAGTTTTGGTTGGGATAGAGTTAGTTTTCTTCACAGTAGCCAGTATGAGGCTATGTTTTGGATTTGTGCTAATAAGAATGTTGACAATATATTAATGTTTTTAACTGTTACTAAGCAAAGTTAAGAACTTTTTCAGTTTCTCATACTACACCAGCTTTTTCTCTACTAAAAGCTGGGAGGAGACAGCCAGGACAGCTGACCCAAACTGACCAAAGGGGTATTTCATTCCATAAAATGTCATGCTCAGTATGTAAGTTAGGGGGAGTTGGCCGTGGAGGTCTCTGAGGATGCTCTTGATCTCTTTCTGTGGCTCTTGTTGCTCAGGGACTGGCTGGGCACTAAGCGGTTGAATAATTTTTTTGTTACCCCATTGCTGTTTTGCTTTTCGTTAATATTATAATTAATTATTATACACAGGATTATTATTATTAATTACACATTATTAGTATTATTAGCATCATTATTTTACTTCATTTTGTTACATTTATTTTTAGTCATTAAACTGTTCTTAACCCTTGAGTTCTCATGGTTTTCCTTCAATTCTCTCCGCCACCCCGCTTGGGAAGGAGGAGGTGAGTGAGCATCTGTGTGGTGCTTGATTGCTGACTGGGGCTAAACCACAACAGCTGGTTGAGGATTATCAGATGCTTTCAGTGTGCTCACCTACCAGTTAGACTGAGAGGTACTTCCTTGCTATGAACAAAGTATAATTTGCATATTGCCTAAGTCTACCACTTCTTTTTTCAGCAGCACAGCTACGATAACTGCAACAAGAGAATACCATAAAAGACAACTCTAGCAAGCACTTTTACAAGTTTACTTCCATAATATACTTCTCCAAAAGACTATCCTATCCAATGTTGACACTCTACTCTGGCTTGTATTGGAAGGTGGCAAGGAGTTAGTATGCATTTTTTTCTGAGAAAAACGTAGAGCACCTGGAAACTCTTAACTCAATAGTTTAATTACTATGGATTACTTCCCTGAAGATACATGCTCCTACCCATACAGATGGTGTGTTTTGGAGCCAGAATTTCTCTTGCTGTGGAACAAGGGTGACCTCTAGTGCTTCCACAAGGCAGTCCCAAGCAAAACTAGGTATTGCAGAATAAGAACAAAAACAGCTACAAAAAATGAATGTTTAATAAAGTTGGGTCATTGGTATCCACTGAAAAAAACCCTTAACCTCCCAAAGGTCAAGATTTAAAAGCAATTCTCCCCCTCCATAAATGTACCATTGTTTAAAATACAACTTTAAACTTCTATGTCAGTCTAAAACACACTATGAAATCAAGACAATGACCAAATCCAGAAACAAAGTAGGAATCCTTCATGGCTACTCCATGAACCCTGTATAGAACTTTCACATATGTCAAACTAACAGCAACACACTCTGTGCTACAGACTCGTTAACTTTCCAGAACAGAAAGTGAAAAAAGCACCCACAGAAAACGAAAGCATGGCTTAAATCTGAAAAATTTCAAGTGTGTCCTATACAACATATAAAATCAACATTAATTGAAGCAGCCTTTAAAACACATGCATATAACAATTACTTTGTCGCATTATTTTTTTTCCACTGTGGTGACATTTGGTTCATGTTTTTACTGCTACAACTACAGACAACTACTTTGCTCATTTCAGCCAACCTAGAAGTCCTCAGCCCCTCTCACCAGTATTGCCTTGGACTTTGTTTTTTGATCTTTTTGCTTCTTTAGCTAAGCCGAAGGGAAACATAATAGGCCAGGAAGGAAAACAGTGATCACTTTCTGCAGACACAATTACGAGTAATCATTCTTTAAAAAAAAAAAAAAAAAAGACCTTCCTTTACATACAAACCTCTTCCCCATCCTGTGCCAAAGCAAGCAATGGGCCTACATGAACACTCTAAACACAGACTGCAGACATGTTATGTGAATCTGTTTAAATTGTGTACAAGTCAAACTGCATCCAGATTTCTTATGGGTAACTTTGTAATTCTAATAGCTTTGACAGAAAAATTTTACTGAAAGCAAAGTTTGTGATAAACTCAGTTTCCAAGAAAACTAACTGGCCAATGCTCCAGTGATGCTTCTCAGAAGGGAATGGGTTTCAGTGTGAAGTACTTAAACAAGTCATAAAGAAGTATATTTAAGGTCAGATGCAAAATTTCATTCTATCAGTCAAGGAAAATACAAGTTATGTCTAACACTTAGTTGAAACTTTCCCCCTGCCCCCAGATATAATTTTTTTAATTAAGCACATGGTGCTAGGGCTTTCAGAAACACATTTAAAAGTTCAAATGCTTTCCTATGCTGTCTTTTCACATAATTTTTTAAAGTTTTGAGAGGGGTTTTTGGAAACTTTAAAAAAAAAGTCATAAGGACTTCCTTATGCTTTCAAATGCTTTCCTATGCTGTCTTTTCACATAATTTTTTAAAGTTTTGAGAGGGGTTTTTGGAAACTTTAAAAAAAAAAAAAAGTGAATAATATTAGCCAAAAAAGAGACAATGGAAAAAATACATGTATCTGAAAACATTTTACAATAAAACCAAGTGTGTGATCTTAATTATGTACGCTGCTTTGTCTACAGTATGACATACTGTAGTGACAAAAGCCACACAACTTGCACACACTGCCTGTACAAACATAAAAAAATGCAAACATTTTTATCCATAAGAGAAATTACAGAGTATTTTCACAAAAAGATATTAAGAGCACAATATGCTGTCTACCTTGTAAATTCCAAGACATTTAGCAGTTCATATCTCTCTTCCTGTCCCAGCTGAAAAAGAAATAATTAAAGAGAAAGCTGAGAATTAATGCAAAAAAAAAAAATTCAAGAAATAAAGAACATCTTAATAGATGAAATAAAGAACATCTTAATAGATGCGTAACATGATGCAGTTATTCAGAAGTTATTTACTATGGCAATAGTAAACACTACAAATTATAACATTACTCCAGTGTACTTACAGATTCTATGATTACTGAGTCAGGTGTCCTTCCAGTGAATACAAAACGTAGGTGCCTGGCTGCTCTGACCAATGCTCCTTCATCTGCAACAAGTCAATTAGCTATTTTACAGATGTACCGTAAACTGTTAGCAAAACCCATGATTTACTGGACACAGTCCAAGCTTTTCTACTTTTGATTTCCTTTTTCCTTTATAGATTTTTAAAATCAGCTGTGGTGCTGGAAAGAACCCTTTGTTTCTCCTGTAAAAACTGTGATGAAACAAGTTTACAATTAAGAAAAAACAAAAAAGCCCTCAAAGAAACAGGCATCTCAGCTCAGTAGCATGAACAGTCGTAAACTGATGTATTTATATTCCCATAGAGACAATGACACTGCTTCATCAAGAGACAAGACTTTCTGATTTCCTTTTCCCCATAAGCCTATGTTGCTTAGAGAATAAACCTCCTAATCACTAGGCAAGTGCCTTACTTGGCAGGACACTGGACAAGGTACTTTCCTTTTTATGTGAGTTCTGTTTTACAAGAAAAGAACGGTAAGTCACTCCTGCAAATAATAGATAACTTCAATGCCTACATTCAGGAAACATTTCAAGCAGCAACGCAGGCTCCCACAGGCACCAGGTCTCTCCAAGCGCACAAGCGCACAAGATGTCAGACCTGAATTTGCTTACCATGCTCAATAAAACACTGCCATGGCCCGGTTAGCTTTATTTACAGCCTACTTCTGCCCTTGTTTTCCATTTGCTGAAGGGCAGAATTTCCAGAGGTGGCCACCTAGGAGCCAGGGCAGACAGGGAAGAGGAAGGCTGGAGACTCTCTGCACTTCATGTAATTTCTCCCATCATAGCTTGTCACAATACATTAGGTCAGCAAAGCTGAGTGTATTTGAATCATTTTGCCTTGCTTCACTTTGCACTCCTATCTTCTCTCACTTTATAGTAGAACTTACTACGATGTTTATCCAGGTAACAACATTTCTTGTTTATTGTTGATTACACAGAGTCTTTGTTGTAAATCAATACCGTGGATACCAAGCACGGAGTAGGTTCACAAACAAGGACATCAGTTTGTCTCCTGGTTTGATTTCTATTTGCATTTGAGCAGTCCCTTCAGGCTTTCACAGCCATCTCACAACACCTTAGGAATGCTGTATGGTTAATCACCCTTTGTCCTTACATAATCCACAGGACATCCATATGTATTTGCTAAAGCAAATTAGAAAAGTCTAAATTCTTTTTTGACCAAACTGATTTTAGCTGACGCCAATTCATTTTTGTGGGATATGTTTTCTTTTTTAATTTCAGAACATACCTCAAAAACCAACAAACTTTGAATAAACTTTTCTTGTTGAGTTGATAGAATACTTTACCTTATGTTCATTCAATTATTTGAGACTCACCTGGAGATGCTGCTTGATATATTATTTTATCGCCGTCTCTTTCTGGAACTGCTGTGTGACACACTGCCATCATTGTCAAAAATTCACATATTATAGGTGCTGTTGGCTAAAAAAAAAAAAAGTCAGAAAGTAATTAATCAAATAAGCAGTAATTAACTGAAATGTCATACAAGTCATAGACAAGTAATAGTAAAGAAAGTTAATGAAAGGTGTTTCCTCTCTTCTTTAAAGTACCAATAGCTAAACAAGCCAGATATCTGTACACTAATTTCAGCACAAAGAGTAACTTCATGCTGCTGCACTTCAATACAGGCTACGTACATAGAATTTAGTGACATTTTCTTTTGTAACAATCAAAAGTAGACAACCAGAAACACAGAATAATTCAAATTAGCGTTTGACAGATAAGTCTGAATAAGACAAGGGGAAACGGCCTTAAGTTGTGCCAGGGGAAGTTTAGACTAGATATTAAAAATTTCTTCACTAAAAAGGTTGTCAGGCATCAGAACAGGCTGCCCAGGGAAGCGGTTGAGTTGCCATCCCTGGAGGTATTTAAAAGAGGAGTAGATGTGATGCTTAGAGACATGGTGTAGTGGTAGACTTGGCAGGGTTAAGTTTATGGTTGGACTTGATCTTAAAGGTCTTTTCCAACCTCAACAGTTTAATGATTCTATGAATGCAGTACTGAAAGAGTGGTTTGTTTTTTTTTTTAAATTTTTATTATTCACTAAAGTCTCTTCAGATGTTGTCTTTTTTTACTAAAAATATTAATTTTTACATTACTTTTGCCTAATGCTATGTTTGACAACACTTTTTAAGAACCTTCAGAAAGATGTATCAACCAAACCCAAAAATCACATGGAAAAACGCTGCAAGGTCAGACAGACATCTAGATCAATCTCTCAGGCACTTCAGAGTCTACAAAACTGAAAGAATTTAAAGTGATTTAGCCTAAAGAGGGGAAAAGAGTGTATATAAGCAAAATAGTTGATTGGTTTTGCCTAATACAGCTAAAATTTGCAAAACTAATGAACTGACTCCTGAATGGTTGGTCAAAAGACACCCCAGCATTCTCTCTAAATAAGCTCAAAGCAGCTGCCACCTCAACTGATTTTTTCATAGCATATTTATAGTATTTCAGAGTAAGAATGTCAACAATCAACGTAACATTACAATTATTCTATAAAATACAACCACCTCTGAAAACCTAACTTAATTCCACAGCACAGAAACGAAGCTGGTTCCTGTCCTCTTCCACTGAGGGCCCTCAGGCCCTCTAAGATCTATTCCAAAGGCTGATTCTTTTCCAAATCACTTCAGAACACTTTTAACGTACAGCAGTGAAACCTCTCTTTGAATGTATACCTGCATTTTTACTTTTAAGATTTATACAAGTGCATTTTTATAGCTTTTATATGTATACACACACACGTGTATACATATATATATACACACACACACACAAACACTTAGTATTATAGATCTACCAGAAAACTTCCAAGATTCAAATCACTAGTGCACCAAGGACCCTTTAGAATCAGCAGAAACAGGATGATGCCTCTTCCAAGCCTACATGACTACCACTGAAATTGGCCTGTGCAGGTAAGTACCGGAGCCCCCTCTACTTTAAATGTGCTTGAGAGGTACCCTGTGTCTAACATTTAAGACTGCTCTATTTGTAGGGACAAAATGCTTCACTGTCAGCATTTTATCCTGAAATTATCCTCCTAGGTAATGATGGTGCTGTTTCTCAGTCAAACCATGAACTAAGCTATTAACTTTCTGTGAAGTGTATTGTCTCTTTGGGGCAAATACCAGCCTCTACAATGACTGCTTCATTTCACCATCTGAACTGATGATCTACCCTCATGGCAGCATGTACACAAAACCAACGTATATGGTTAATTCCTGACTCTTATCTAAGCCTGGGCATGGAAATCCTAAGTCGTGTCAGGCTAGTAAGCTAACTTGAATGATCCTGAAAGCTTTGACGGATGTCATGTCATGACTTCATAAGAACAGCACGATTAACATTAAAACAGCCATAGAACGAAGGCTATTATATTTCAGGCTCATAACAGCTGAATCACACCATATCCCCACCCCCCAGTGACTCTCCAGAAGTTAACACTAGATGCTATTTCGAGGTGGACCTAATTAACATGTATCAACAACAAAATATTCAGAAGGGCAAGTTGATTTTGTGCAAATACATAATTTATTTTCCTCCAAAGGACACCGTCTTTCGACTTACTTTTATTACTGAAAGCAATGTTTGATTTCACAAAGTAATGGTAATTGTTTCTATATAACTTACATGATTACTTTGAAGATTCTCCAGTAATGATGAGTCACTAAATGTTTTTTCTTCTCCATTTTGTGAGCCCTGCCTGGAAATAATTAAGTCAAAAGAGATCATCATTAGCATATTCTTCACAATTCATATACAAGTCATCCACTCTACCGTGCTAAGGTCAAACATAAATTTTGTTTTGTAGCTGTTACAATAAAGGCTGCATTTGTGCATTATGAGAAAATAAAGTGGAAAGGTACTTCTTTATCTATAATAAACCTTGATTCATACAAATACACTCAAATCCTGGGCAGTTTTTCTGCTGATTTCAGGTACCACAGGATGAAACATAAGTATTTGCAATATAAGACTGTGGCTTCTGGCTTTCTGATCTCCACAGAACAAGATTACTGAAGGGACTCTGAAAAGGATATGCCTGAAGAGATCACATTTCTTGTAGAAATTAGCATCTTTGCAATGTATTTGCAGAAAAGAAAGTCCAGTATTTGAAAGCGGTAGGCAAACCGAGCTGCAGTACCAGGGAAGTCTGCGTGGAGAGGGTTTGTTCTCTATTACACATGACCAAAAAAGAACCTAGTAAACTGATGTACAAAGACAACGCAGCAACAATGGTGAAGCAGGAAGGACTCAAGAGATGTTTCTGGAGAAACAGACATACACTAACATCTTTCAAATTGCACAAGTCTTCTGGCTGAAGCCGGGAGTTCAAAAATAGTAGATCCTTCTAGGAAGACTTGTTACTGGATTTGACTGTTGAGTATTAAGACAATGTAGTTGAGTTTGAAACTCAGTGACACAAAACAGTGCTGAAAAGAGAACCCAGCTGGAGAAAGGATTTTTTCATTTACTTTGGATTTTGACTGGTTCACATAATCTTAGAAGAGAGTGAACACATCCGGTAATTTAAGTTTAAGGATAAGCCACATACATCAACAGCAGTATAAAGATTCTTTATGAAAACCAAAACTGAGCTGTTCTGTTTTTTCCTTTAAACTTTTTAAACATAAGGAGACAACATGTTGGTTTTGTGTGACATGTGACTTTCACCAAATACAACAGTGATAACTTAGACTGTAAATGACATTTTTCCACGATCTATCTGAGCTGATTTTGAACACTATTGCAAGAAGTACAAGGCATCATGCAGATGGTAGCAGAAAGGAAGACAGGAGTTAGTCTTTCCCAAGGTCCCCGTTAAGAGATTAATGTATGCCCAAAGTCTATTTGGGTGCTTTAATCTCAGTTGCAGTTAAGAATTAGGTAGTAGTAATATTTAAAACTATCTATAGGAAGTAAAACATTAATACCAATATATTACATATTTTTCACTCACAAATATGGACATTTTTCTAACATACTGGAGATCACCACTAACCTATTACTAAGTAACAGTAGAAAAGTGTGATCACAGGTACCGTAATACCAACTACTGTAATGACAAGACTTTCCCTCCAATAAGCAATTATGAATTGTACAGGATTGTCAGTAGAACAATGACTCTCAGTGACCCTAATAGCAACCTAGTGCTGTAGAATTCTGATGGCATAAATTTGTGTAAGACACTGTCTATCTGCATCAATTTGAAACTAAAATAACTTCTGAGTAAAATACCTCATATATAGCTTTTTTCTAAGATCTCACTGGTTTTAAGCTTGAATCTTTAAACACTACATGCTAAATGATTTTTAAAGCTTACCAATCATCTGAAGGAACACTATAATCCTCAGGCTCAGGGCAATGGCTGCACAAGAAGTAAGAGAAAAACAGGGAGGGAAAAAAAAGGAGAAACAAGGAGAGGAAAAAGAATCACAAAGTCTAAAAAATTTGATTATGTATGAAAAAAGTTAGTTAATGAAACCAAAATGCTAAAAAACCCCCACCAAACTCTATTAAGGTATTTCAGAGGATTTTGCTACTGCCTAGATAATAATAAAATATCACAAAAGTCTGATGTTTCTCTTGATTATTTATAGTTTATGAAGCCTCATTTGTTTTTCTTCTTACTAAATTACACTTACAGATATAAAGGCATTTTCCCTCTTTCTAAATCTTGTTTTATATATCAATATATATAAATTGTTACAGTTTCTCATTAAAAAAAGGTAGTTTTAAAATTATCTGAAGCCATGCTAATGCTGCTTGTCTGTCTGAGTTCACAACATGCTGATGAACGAAGCTGTTCATAGCACACAAAGGACTCTGCCCTGTGATGACACAGGTTTAAATATATCACAGTTTATAACATATTTCAAAAGATGAGGTATGGGAGACAGAAGTGTCACTTTTACCCCTTTCTATGTTCCCAACTTATTTGTATCAATACAGACAGAGCGACTCTGTTCTCTGAGTAGCCATGAGAGATGCTGTAATGGCTATTCAGTGTAAAGGGATACTCTAAACAGTGATGCTAATCAGAAAACTGGTCTATTTCTTTTCCAAACAGGGTGGATGGGAGCTGGAAAGTATAGCAAGAAAACTCAGATAATTTTGTCTAAAAAATATATTCACAGCTAGGTTTCATAAAGGCGAAGTTTTAGAATTTGTGCTACAACAAATTCAGATGAAGATATATAATGAACTGCATATCCAATACTGATTTTTAGTGCTGTTATTCGTAACTTTTTTTTTTAATCTTCAGCTGCTATACAAAGAATTTGAAAATAGTAAGCTCAGAGCAGTTTCTCTGAAGCCATAAAATTAGTATAGCTAATGCATTAAGGATCTAATTTTTGTTCAAAAGAGAAAGCCCAGATTAGATTCCTGAAAATTATGATTTTCAAAGGCATCCAAATCATAAAGTCACAAAAGCCAAATCATCACCTTCAGCAACAAGCCCACAACTTACAAAACCTCTGCCTAGTCTCTCCACCCAGAATAGTGGACACCACTATTCTGATAGTTCTGGAGGTGTCTATCTGTTACTGAATGCTCTGAGATCGGCCCAAGTGCAGCATCTCTCATACTGGTAAGCCACACTGGCATTCACCATGTAGGTGCTTCTGCTCTAATGATTTTTTTAAAAAGTTAAACAGTCTTAGAAGTTTGAAGATTTTACAAACTCTGTTGAAAGACTTGGCTGCAACTGCTGACAAAGAAATAGAAAAATGCTTTGTTTGCATTTTTGGGAGAGACTTCTTAATAGCCGCATTGGTATTTGGAGTTATGCCACTATAACAGCATTCATAAAAGCTACTTGGACAGTGGCTACATTCAAACTCTTGTTCATCCTGCATCTTATTCTGTGCAACAGCATGGGCCTACATAAAATATGAAGCATGGACAATGCTACAAGTTTTTGTAAGTGTAAGGAAAGACTCTTTTTTTAGTAAGAACATTAAACAGACTGAGCAATAGAAAAAAAACATGCATACTGAATTTGCATTACAGCAGTAAGCCTTTGATATCTAAACTTTATTTTTGTTCCTCTTCGCAAAAAGAGATGTCATGACTGAAGTGATGATACCTCTTTAAGTAATGTTTTATAGTCACAAACTGACTCCCGGTTGCATATATTGCCAGACTTACGTTTATGTTAGCTATAGTATTAATGCATAGATCCACATGCACAGGCAGAGGAAAGGAAAGGCACACAGATAAAGAAAAGTATATAAAAATACCTACCCATAAGCAACTCCTGCTACAGTACACTTCTTAAATTGCATGACATTGCATGTCAGGGTACCCGTTTTGTCAGAAAATATGTATTTGACCTAAATGAATGATAAAATTCATTATACATTAACATTCAGCAGTTATTTACATATCTAGCACAATTCATGACTACCAACACTCTAAGTATTTTTACCAGTTCTGCAATCTTCATAGCATATGGAAAAAAATCCAGTACATAAACGTGGCATATGTACAGTCTTAATATCCATTTCCAAACCGAGCATGGTGGTATACTTCACTATTCCTCACTCCACGTATTGTTGAAAGGCAAGAAACTAGTGAAGACCAATGGCTTTGCTAGTAAAATATTCCATTTCTGACAGAAAGCAATACAGTAAAAGAAAAGTATCTATATGCACTTCTAAACCCCTCCTTTTTGACACAGAAGTGTCTTTGTATAGCCAAAATATTAGTAAAAACCCAACAGTTCAGAAATGACAAGTTGCAGGAATAGAAGAATTGTGTTGCTTTTTACCTACTCCAGGCCTCCTCCCTAACATCATAAACCCTTCCTCACTGGAAACTAATAGTTATGTTTAAAATTGAAGCTGAAATACACATATCTGTGATAAATTTAGTTCAACCCTAATCTTAAGAAAAAAGTTAATATATGAAAAAATGAAATGGTCTGTGATGAAATAAAGGCTCTATTAGTCAAAGGTAAACTTCAGTTTTCATTAGTTAAAATTTAGTTCTCATTAAAAAAAAAATCACAGTATTCTAATTGGGAATTAATTCAATTATAGATGGAGCTACAAAGTTTATGTATTAGTAAAATTTACTTGGCATCTCCTACTTAAAGATTTTGTTTCTGAGGGATTATGACTTAGCCAAATCAGCTGTTAGAAGAAATTTTCCATGCCAGGTTTATGCCTCAAACTGTACTCTTTTTTACAGAAGAGGAACTCAGGAAATCAGGAGTTGAGAAAACGCACCCTTTTTTTCCAACACCAAAGTTTTGCCTTTCCTAAAACCTGAAGATCTCTTGGGTGAAATCTGATCTGCATTATGTGCAGACACTTGTATTGCAGAGAAGATGCTCGCTCTTTCTGTTAGCAGAGTCCTTTGGTCTCCCTACAAAAATCTGCTCAAATTAAGAATCTGTCAATAAAGTGAAAGTGGAGATTCAAAGAACTCTGGCTAGACCTTGGTGGTGAAGGAGACTTTGATGAGAAACATAAGAAATGAAGACAAGAACCACTGAAGTCAAAGAGGAAATGCATATGGAAATGTGAATAGCAAGCTAAGTGCAGAGATTAAAACCAGACATATTGTGTCAAATGAGAGAGAAGCAAAGTTAAGATTCAAGTCTCTTCCCCAGTAAAGACTGTGCCCCCCTTTAAGGCCAGGAAGAGAATCAAATTTTCTGCTACCTGCACATATTTCCACATACTGCATGTGGAGAAAAAAAAGACATACTAAAGATGCACACTATTATAGTGTATATACAGAGACTAAATATTTTTGCCACAGCCTGTCTTAGGGCTCAGAATTCCTCTGATTTTGTAACTTCAATGATACATTTCAACCCCCTGTGGTTATCACACACACATTGATACATAAGGAAGTGGGTTTTCATTTAATACTGGATTCAAAATCTTAACTCCCACATAGTGCAAAGTCTTGTTAAAAATATCTGAAAAAATTAAGAAAATCGAAAGAAGCAAAAAAGACTAAGGCAGTAATATAAGTGTTTTGGTTTTTTTTAAATAAATCCTTACATTATTTTAATAATTTAGATTGTAAAACCACATCAATAATTTCATACACAGAGTTAGAACCAGTGACTTTTTTCTACCTGTCCAAGCTCTTCATTGAGATTGGAAGTACGAGCCATCGCAGCAGTGTCTGTAGGTTCATAGTGCATGTCAATGTCCTACAGATAAAAAAGTTAATATATATAAGAATTAGCCTTCCACAACTTTTTACAAAAAAAATCTAGTACATAAATAGAAAAGGTAAGTGGAGAAGAACAAAAGGAACATAAATAAGTTATCTACTTATGATTATTTCAACATGGGAAACCAGACACAATCAGATCACTTCTAAGAGTCACCAGAAGAAATTATATTTCCTCTTTAAAACAAAAATCTATGATCTGTGATTTGTATTATTGAAAAAGTGTCATACTCATGCATTTGAAATAGATTTAGCAACAAGCAGCAATACTCCATTGTAACACTTAACAGATAAGTCAGTCTTAACTATTCATATTGCATGCACAACCAGTCATTTCTAAATAGCAAGATAAATATACCTTGAGATAAAAACCATGAAGATAAATTTAAGAGTACACAGTAAATGTAGGGTAGATCATAAGTGGTAGGGTTTTTTTTTTTACTTGCTCATAAAAAAACCCCAAACCCAAGCCCCCGAGTTTATTTTTAAATACTGTAAAAGATTAAAATATTGTGAAGTATGGCAATGTAGTGCAACAGATTTCAGGTGAGCAACTTCTCCATACCGATATGATATTCACACACACAAAAATAATGTTTAATAAATGTCCAGAGTCCCAGATCAAGATAAATTAGACAACTAATCCCTCATGGTGTGAAATAAGGGGGAAATAGAAGTTAAAACAGTCTTTCAAATTTGTTGATATCTACACATCTAAAACAGGTGTGCCTTTGTTGAGTACTTATTTTAGAACACAAAAAATGAAGAATCTGATTGGTTTCTCTTATTTGTTCTATAGCACAGAAGAAATGAAGACATCATAACCACCTGACTGCTCACAAAAACACGTCACTTAAAGCATACAACTTCACCTGCTACTCCACACACATTTTAATCTATATCATTATGACAACATCTCTCACACACAAATCTGTTTCATAGAATCATAGAATGGTTTGGGCTGGAAGGGACCTTAAAGACCATCTAGTTCCAACCCCTCTGCCATGGGCAGGGACACCTTCTACTAGACCAGGTCACATGTTTGATCAAGGAATCAGACTGAGGAACGTTAGGGGAAAAAAAAGGAAAAATTAAAGGCATGCTGTTCAAAGCACTTACATGGCTTAAAGAATATCTCACTTCCACCCCAAACAGAATAAACCCTTCCTTTTGCCCCATTAATTCATCAAGAAAAAAAATTAAAAGTACACCAAAAACATCCTTATATATTTTGTAAGAGGAAACACTAACAGACACTGGCTTTGTGCAAAACCCCCTCACTTAACAATGGTGGTTGTGGTGGTAAAATCAGCTAAATACAAAAAAAAAAACCAAAACAAAAAACCCCAAACAACACCTGAATATTAATTCTGTGTGAAAGTATGACGCACATAGAAACATGTTCCAAAAAGCAATTTGGTGCAGGTATAAAAGAACTAAGTAAAACCATTTATTTTTACCTTCTCAGATTCCAGTAATAGTAAATAGCATACTTAAGAATTAATGTTAAGAAAAACCTGAAAAAAAATGTATGCAGATGAGCAATCAAGCATTTAACTTACTTGTAAACCACTTGATTTTAGAAGTCAATGTATATTGTAAAAACAATATTTACCCAATTTATGAAATATGCCTGGATAAATTTAACAACTTCAAGTGTAACCAACAAACTGATTGGGATGAGATTATTGAAGAGAATGATAAAGGTCAAGAAATTCAATCCAAAGTTGCTTGCTCCACCATCTGCCAAAAAACAAAGCAAATAAAAACATTTAAGACCATACTTAAAAGTATGTATACGCAGCATATTCAGAGTACTGCATTACTGCTGATTTTTAACATGTTCTCTGTCTAAGAAGAAACTTTAGAATTAATTACAATATCACTTGCCTATAAATGTGACCTTCATAAGAGTTAAGGATCTGTATTATATAAAGTGGAGTTCAAGTTTAGAGATCTCTCTCATATTCTCCAATTTCTGAAAAGCAAATTTACCAGCCATTCCCTCTTTTGCTACATTTTAATATCATAATCTGGGAATATCTATATATAGAAACTAAATTCTAGACTCAAATATTAGAGTTTTATATTTTTAAAGGGGGAAAATGTGTATTGGAATGAATTTTCTTTCTATCCACCCTCACGCCTTCCTATTCACACGTCCAACCCAGAAAAATACTATGAAAAAGGTAAATCCACACCACATAAAAAGAAGAGATGAAATTAGAGAGTTTAACGAAAGTCCTAAAAGAACCAGAAACATGAACATTAACACATGTAACAAGTAGTTTTATACTACTTTTTCCTTTTAAAGTTTTAGATAACTCTAGTGGCACCTCAGAGATGATGTGAATAGGAAATAGCAGACTGCTCTCTAGCACAGCAAAATGATAAAAGATGTAGCTTGCCTGTCTGTACTTAAAGATTTCTCAGAAAAACAGCCTCAGACAGGTTTCCACTGCCTATGGAATGTGGATCTGGTTTTACTCTAAGATCCAAGACAGCAGGTTTTGGCTACTTTCATTAATACTAATTCTAGCAACAGATGAAGTAACAAGTCTAAAAGGCCAGAACAGCTAACATTCAACATGACTTTGATATTCACAATAATAACTACTGAGATTAAATGAGGTTTGACATCTATTGCTACCTGTAAGTAAAGCAATATTCAGATATTTATTGTTAACATTACTACTTTATCTTCCACAGGAAACAGATTGTTCCAACTAAATAGTAACAGCATTCAGAAAGATGGGGCACTGCTGGGAACCTGTTTCATTACCACAGACAAATTAAATAACTAAAGGGAAAGGGGAATAAATTGCTGCTTACATATTAAAAGTACCTGGTACAAGAACAACTATGATCTGAATGCAGACCTAAAAGGGTCTTACAAAACCCAACCCAACTTCATTTAATCACAGGGCATATATGAGAAAACAAACTGACAAGGATAATCACGTGAACAGGACACAAAAATATCAATTAGCCACTATTTCATGTTTCTTTTTCTCAGGAATAAAACCAAAAGCTTTTGAACTGATTTACTCCTGTGCTAACCAACCTATTCTGAAAATATACTCAACAACATATTGAGAAAAAAAAAAAGCACTGAAATAAAAATAAGATGAAAAGTAACAAATGATGAAGCACATCCAACACTATCCTTTTGTATTACTGGGAATTTTCAATATTCCATTAACAATTTCACTTTTTCCAACTCACGACGTAAATAGGAAAGTTAAGTTTCTTCCTTTAAAAAACAAACATCCAACATTGTTCCTCAGCATCAAAAAGAAGAGAAGCAAGGTTCTCAATAAACAGAAGTTCATTATAAAGGCAGACATAAATGCAACAGAAACTTTGGAAGCGTGCTTTCAAATCAGATATCCAAGATTTTTATTTTGAAACTGACCAAACCACCCCAGAATCCCTACTCTGATGATTACATTCTGCAGCTTTGTATTCAAGACCATTGTTGCAGGAGCAGAAAGTCTAGTTCTGGTTCTACTGCCCACGTAAAGGCGGCTCAAGGCCCACCATAAGAAATTCTGGAAACATGAATAATTGACCATTAAGTATATTTATGAAAACTTCCTTTAAATCTAGTTCCCCCACTGAGGGTCAGATTATGTCTGCATGTGGCACGCTGCTGTGAAGGCCCACATCACATGTCCTGGGGTGAGGGAATTTTAAACATTCAGAAAAATCACTGCAGCTTTAAATGTAATCCATCGGTAACAGCTGAAAATGGCTTTAGTCTGATGTCTAGGAAGCTGACTGTTTATGCCAGTGGAATGCTGATACAGCCCTTGCTGAGCTAGAGAGATATAGAGGCTGAAAGATGTAGAGATAAACAACAGTGCTCCCCTTCCTGAATTTAGCAAGCACTCAGATGGCACAGCAAGGTAGGTTTTATACCTGCTGTGATATACCTAGCCTAATGACTTTAGCAAACAACCAACAAAGACAGACTGATAAAAAAACCACACTGTGTAAAGGATGGCAATCTCCTTTCCAAGTAAGAAAGACAACTGAACATTAATAAATTATTTTACATCTTACAATTTAGATCTAGATACCAGTCTCTTCCAGTATGCCTTCGATTCCATATAGCAGAACCAATAGAGCAGACCAAAGACATGGCAATAAGGATGCAGAACAGAATTAAAATCTGAATATTCGTAATTCGTTCCACATTAGACATTTTAAGAGGTGGACTTGTTGAATTCTGCAAAAGAAAAAAACCACAATGGCTATTAAATATTAAAAGAGGTACACACAGCTTTTCAAATTACATGTTACTGCATCCCTTTCCAAATATTCTCCCAAATAACATTGTCATCATAAATGGCATGACTGTTTCACTCAAAAGTAAAAAAAAGCAGCTTATAAATCCATGAATTAGAGCTTTATATTTGTCACAAGCAGTTTAATCAATCACACAGAACACTCGAAACAGCAACAGCTAACAGTAAACATCAAAAAGTAATGTGCATACACCTTATCAGTGCTAGAGGAGACAATTGCTGATACAATCAAACTTTTTCAAATAACTGTTTTACAAATCAGAAAAGCAGTTAAGTGACATGCATGATCACTCTGAAAGCATTCTTTTTCAACAATGCATCTCAATTTTCTTTTTTCAAACAGAACTAAGAAAAGTGATTTCATAGTCCGAGGATGGTTCTCATTCCTCCTCATTTTGAAAATACAAGTTTCACTTTGTTTTCTGACAAGAATGCTTACCTTTGTACTTGCAAGAAAGCTCCACAAGAGGACAGTTTTAGGAGCAGTCAAAAATAAAAAAAGATGAACAGGCAAACTATAACGATCCAACTTCCTAATAAAATAGTTTTCAAAACACAAGTTACAAAAGAGAATCAACAAATATGCTTGCTAGTGGAAAAACTACCCCGTGGCTAAGTGACTAATAATGACAACAAGAAATTGCTTTATTTTTAATGGGTTTACTTCAAAACAAATGTGCTCTATGATTGACATTTTAACTAACATATTGAAACTAGCCATGCTTTCTAAAAGAATTTTCTTTGCTGTGTAATGGCATAATAAAGTAACAAAAAAGATAATCTAGAAAAAATCCCAGTGACAAACCTGCATAAGTTTTGTGTCATGTCCCGTATAGACAACTATCCCATGAACCCACTGAGTATTTCTCAACTGAGCTCCTCGTAGAAGAATCTGATCGGATCCCAGTGGAACAGTACTAGAAGGAAGGAGTTTCATATTTTAGTATTAAAACAGTCAATGTCAATGGATAAATGTAACCAGCAGTTGTTAAAACTAAATTCTTAAATTTTAAAAGATTATTTTAAGTATTCTATGAACCTAATTCTCATCAGTAATTTTTTGGGAACATTGAGAGAGAGAAAAGTTGAAAGTTAAAAGCAATTCCAAACATTAATGGCTGCAAAAAATATTACTTACCACTCAGTTTTGACTATGGACATTAAGATACAGCACTACTGAGCAAGCATACTGAAACTAACAAATGCTAATTTTCCTGTGATTTGGTATTACGAAGCTTTTTCCTAAATTCATGTGGAAACTCAACTACTATTACAAAACTGATTTTCCAAAGTAATCTTCAAATGAAACAATTTTCTGAACTCCCAACATAATCTACTCTTTTGGTGAAATAAATATCCTTTATAAACGTGATTATTTAAAATTCACAACATTTCCTGCTGTATTGGGTTTGCATGGCAAGGTTTTGGTAGCAGGGGGGCAGACCAAACCCCAGCTGGCTTCAAGATGGACCCACCGCTGGCCAAGGCCAAGCCAACCAGCAACAGCTGGTAGCACCTCTGTGATAATGTATTTAAGAAGGGGGAAAAAAATCGGGAAGAGAAATTGAAGCCAGAGAGAGGAGTGAGAATATATGAAAGGACCAACTCTGCAGACACCCAGGTCAGTGGAGAAGGAGGGGGAAGAGGTGCTCCAGGCACCAGAGGACCCCATGCTGGAGCAGGGAGATGCCCTAAGGGGGCTGTGACCCCATGCACAGTCCACCCTGGAGCAGGCTCCTGGCAGGAGCTGTGGCCCTGTGTGGAGAAGAGCCCAGGCTGGAGCAGGTTTGCTTGGCAGGACTTGTGACCCCAGGGGGACCCAGGCTGGAGCAGGCTGCTCCTGAAGGACTGCACCCCGTTGGAGAGACCCACGCTGGAGCAGTTTGTGAAGAACTGTGGCCTGTGGGAAGGACTCACATTGGAGAAGTTGGTGGAGGACTGTCTTCTGTGGGAGGGGAGGATCCCTCCCCCTGAGGAGGAAGGAGCAGCCGAGACAGTGTGTGATGGACTGACCACAGCCCCCACTCCCTGTCCCCCTGCGCTGCTCGGTGGAGGAGGTAGAGAAATGGGGAGTGAAGCTGAGCCAGGGAAGGAGGAGGGGGTGGGGGGAAGTTGTTTCAGAATTTGGTTATAGTTCTACTCATGACTTGATTTGCAATAGATTAATTTAATTTTCCCAGTCAAGTCTGTTTTGCCCATGACAGTAACTGCTGAGTGATCCCTCCTTGTCCTTATCTTGACCCACAAGCCTTTTGTTATATTTCCTCTCCCCTGCCCAGCTGAGGAGGGCAGTGACAAAGCAGCTTTGGTGGGCACCTGGCCTCCAGCCAGCGTCAGCACACACCTGCACCTTCTTTAAACTGCAAAACCACGTAAATTTACTTGTTTTATTCTTCTAGAACTGCACGAAGCAGATGAGCAACAAAACATCAAAAGGCACTGGAAACATTTAACTGTCTTAAATTCAGACAGGTATTCTAGGTTTTTTTTTTGCAGAAGCTAGGAAAAAAGTTTAATCTGGAAAAATATTTGAGTGCTTTTCAATAAAAAACAAACTAACAAAATTACTTTTTAGGAAACCAGCATGGAACATACTGACTGTTTAAGCAATCATTCTGTGCCCCAGCTAAGTAGGCTTGAGCAACTGAAACACTGAATGATACTGTCGTGGAAAGTAATTTCCAGGTGCAGGCACTTCATCGAAAGAAGGAATCAGAAAAGAAAACTGAAATATAAAAAACATACCGAGATTTACTTTTTAGACCTCAACTATGCTGCTCTTGTATTTGAGATGTGTTCATACCATGGCAAAACTGAGAGAATAAATGTCCTTTCAAGTATGAAAGGAACTGCTGGGGTATGAATTACACAAGAATCATGAAGAGAGACTCCTAGAGCCATCAAAGATTGCTTCTGCACTTATATTTAATTATTTACATTCCTTGATCACAATCATTCTAAGACTTCTGGGCCATCCATCAGCACAACACTTAGAATGAAAATATCTGACTATTCTTGGAATGACATGTAATCCATTCCTTACCCAAAATGTCTATTAACACTAACATGAATGTCACAGAACATGAAAGAAAAGTAACTTTCTCTGGGTATATGCAAGTTACCCACACATAAACCAGAAACCTTTTCAACTATACGCCTTCTCTGGAATGCCAAAACACTTTCTGCCCCTTCTAAACACAAGAGAGTCTAGGAAGTCACAGTCAAAACCTTCCACTCTTAATTCTTGTACTCCTTGAAGAGTGAAATGAGTTCTAAGACTCCTCATGCCACTTCCTGATCCTCCTCTTTGTTTTCCCTTCTTAAAACTGCAAAGTATATATAGCAAAGTCCTTTCCATTGCAGGATTCATGGATTCTTTTTTCTATCAGGACACTGGCTCTCAAATAGATACCCTTCTCCAACTTGGGACAGGAATTTATTCTCAAGGGTCTGCTATTGGTAAGACAATCAGAAGAGAATTGGGACTGCGGCCACTGCGAGCCATCTCCAGCAGAACTGGTACACAGACTAAGAAGATGAAAACAGACAGCAAAACAAGGAGGGGCACAGAAAGCCCACACCTGCCACGTGTCACGCTGCTGGGATCTTACCCCACCCTGTGACGGCGTGGTGGTGCGATGACCTGACCAAGTCTCACATTTCAAGTCTCTATTTCCTGGCCTCAGCCCTGTCAAAACTGCTCCAATTAATCTGATTCTTCTTGTATGCTACAGAACTAACGACTCCATAGCTACGTATTTGGGTTGTATGAGGAAATACCCTTTCAGTATCATTCC